AGGGAAGCGCTGGCCGGGAGCGCGGCGGCGCGGAGGGCCAGCCGGCAGCCTGGGGACCCGACGCTCCCCTCCAGGAGCCGCCTCAGGCGCCCGTATTTGCCCTTTGGCAGACTTCTTGCTGCTCCGGAGCAAAGTCCCGACCTGCCTCCTGCACTGCCACTGCCCATAGGCGCCGCTTCCTCTCAGTGGTGGCCCGGGACGCTTCACCTGCGGGCAGGCGCACGGCAGGGTACCCCCTCTCCACGGCCGCGCCGGAAACCCACCGCGAACGCCGCCTCCTGCTGCGCTTTTGGGCTCTGGGCTCTTGGGAAGGCCACCCCACCTCTCTGGTCCTCAGTCTTGTCTTCTGTAAAATGGTGCAAATAGTGATCGCCTCAAGAGATGACGCTTGTCAAGTGCGAGGTGCAGGGCGTGGCCTTGGAAAAGCCTCCCCCCCTCGCCCCCCAAATGACACTTCTAGCCAGTGTTTTAGTGATGTCCTTATGGGCCCACCTTCTCGCCCAGGCCCACTCGCCCTGCTCCAGATTTGCCCTGGAGGCAGCAGTGGGCTGGGGCAACTGTCGCAGGCCCCTCCTGGAGGTCCTGCCGTAGGAGTCAGCTCTTCCAACCTGCCCGTGCTCTGCCCGCTACCCCCACTTCCCCTACACACATGATTTGGGGTCCCTGCTGCAGGGGTGGGCCTTCCAGCCGGGGCATTTTCCCTTCCGAAGGGGGCGGACCCTGTGGTTTCCTCCCAGGGTGACTTCCGGCAGAGAGGACTTGGCCCCCAGAGAGGGCGGGGAGATGACACAGTTGTTCCCCCAGCCCTGTGGGGCGGGCAGCACGGTTCACTCCAGCATGGGGGCTCCAGGTAAGGGGCCCGCGCCGCTGCCCAGAAATGTGGGCAACTCCTGGGGTTGTCCGGCTGTGCCCATCGCTGGCCTGCCCTGCCCCTCCTGCTTAGCTGTCTCCTCTGTCCTTTCACTCCGTCCCTCAGCAGCTTCCCCCTTCCCACCCTGGCTCCCCACTCCCAGCCCCCTTTTCTTCTCCCCTCCCGCATCAGACACCTGGGGCTGCCGACCTCTTCTCCCCATCTCTGCCGCCTCGTCCTGAAGGCTCCGGGGGGAGGGACTCAACCCCGGGTTGGTAGGGGGCTCCTGTAAGGAGCACCGGTGGGTGGGCCATGAGTCGGGGCTGCAAACCTGTTGGAAGGCTGAGCGCGGTGCCGGCTTTAGAGTGTGTTTGCGTCTGTGTACCCTGTGTGTGAGGTCGCCGTGAGTCTCCTGAGTATGACTGTCGTGTGTCTGCGTTGAGGGAGCGTGGGGGGCTGCTGTGTGTGCCATTGTAAGGGTAGCCTTGGCAGTGATCTCTTGGCTCACTTCACTTCATTCGCCTCAGATGTCACCTCCTCAGGGAGGCCTTCCGTGACCTTCCCATCTGAACTGGCCACTCATCCTGCCATTCTCAGTCCCCTTGCCCTGCTTGTCTTTTCTTGATGGCACGTACCACTGCCTGAAAATTTATATGCTTGTGTGCTTAATAACTGCCCCCCCCCCATGTCAGTTGGCTGAGTGAACATTGAGTGCCAGGCACCGTACAAGGAGTTTTGGGTTTGCTGTCTCATTTGATGTAGTGCTCTATCTCTGCATGATGATAGTTATCTCTCAGCAGTGCTGATGGGACAGTTAACTGAGCTAAGATGTGCCAGTGCTTAACACGGTGCCCAGAACATGGCAAGCGTCAGTACTTCATGACTGTTTTATCTGTGGTCACATAGGTACGACTGTGGGTATGTGTCACATTTCTGGGGGACAGTGGGGATGAGTCTTGTTTGGTGTGTGCCATCCTGTGTGCATCAGTGTATGTGACCCTCCATCAACATGTAGTTATTTGACAGCTCTGTGCTGGGTGTTGGAAATACAACCAGAAGGCAGCTTCAGCTCTGTCCTCCTGGAGTCCCCAGTCCAGTGGGAGAGACAGATGAGTCACCAGACAACAGAGGAGGCACAGGCAGGGGGCTCAGGGCTTGGAGGTGGAGGCACAGGGGGCTGTGGGAATCCAGAAGACTTGTCCAGTTTAGCCTGTGGGGGGTCAGGGAGGGCTTCCTGGAGGAGGGGATGTCTTGGCTGATATGTGAAGGATGAGTAGGTGTGAATAAGGTAAAAAGGTGAGGAGGAGACTGAAGTGGAAAGAAGACAGGATGGCATGTGGTTGCCTACTGAAGTGATCACACGCGCAACCATGCATGTGTGTGTGTGCATACTTTGTGCACACAGATCCAGGGCATCCACGTATGCAGGCTGTTTGCTCCCCCACTGACTCATCCCTGTCTGGGGTTGAATGAGGGCCTCATACATGCTAGGCACTGGATTACAACCTTGACTTGGGATTTCTCACTGAGTTTCCCTGCCTGGGAGGCCTGCCCTGGGTCCCCCCTCCCAATACATTATGTGGTTTGGGCAGGTCACTCACGATGCCTGGTCTTGTTGTTGTTGTTAATCTTCATCCCAGGATACTTTTTCCATTGATCTTTTAGAGAGAGTGGAAGGCAAGGAGGGAGGGGGAGAAGAGGAGAGAGAGAGAAACATCTGTGTGAGAGAGACACATCAATTGGTTTCCTCCTGCACATGCCCTGACCGCGGCCGGGGATTAAACCTGCAACCCAGGTACGTGCCCTTGACTGGGAATCGAACCCGCAACCCTTTGGTCCGCCAGCCAATGCTCCAACCACTGAGCAACACTGGCCAGGGCTGCTTGGTCTTGGGCTGCACATCTGTGAACTGGGTTCAGGGGTCCGCCCTGGCCATCTCCCAGGATGAGGTGGCTCTGGACATGTGAGTGTGTGCATGTCTGTGTGTGCGTGTCTAGCTGAGTGACCTCGGTGTATCTGTGGATGTACATCTGTGTGTGAGTATATCTGTCTATGAGTGACTCTGGGGTGTGCGTGTGTGCACGTCTGTGTGTGCGTCTTAGTGACCTGGGGATATGTGTGCACATCTGTATCTAACTGCATTCCTGTCTGTGAGTGACTCTGGATGTGTGAGTGTGTACGTCTCTCGGTGTGACTGGGTGTGTGTGTGTAAGCAAGCGCAGGTGTGCATACTCATGTCTGGGTGTGCTTTGCATATCTGCCCATGTCACTGTGTCTGGGCCTCTGTCTTCATCTGCACACATTCCTGTCTGGGATCGTGCACACCCATCCCTATGTGAGTTGCATGTCTCCATCATGTCTGGGACCCTGCCTGGCTGTGGCTCTGGTGTGCGTGCTGTGGCAGCTCTTGCCTGTTGTCAGCACAGTTGTGGGGCCACATCTCTTGTTGTGTCTGCCCATATCTCCATCCCTCCCTCCTGACAGCTCAGAAGTGTTCACTCCCTTGAGGCTGCCCAGGGACAGCTGTGGGGCTGTGGGGGTGTGAGGTGTGGTTCCTGAGGAGGCCCAGACTAGGCCAGCTGGGCGGGCAGAGGTTCCCGGCAGCGCAGATTCAGCCCAAAGGGGCTCCCAGGCCAAGCCTTGATTGAAGCAGTCTGTGGAGGCAGGGGACCCAGGGGACAAGCCAAGTGGGACCAAGAGGGGTGAGGGGCAGCCCTTGGGCCCTCTATATTTAGCCCCATTTTCGGTAAGTGCTAACGAGAAGCTGACCCAAGTCTGCTAAAACCGGCCGGGGGAAATGCAGAGGAGAAGTGAAAGTCGGGTGGGAGGGGCGAGGGAAGGGTGAGGAGAGGAGGGCAGCCAGAGTCCCAGGCCTGGGGCAATCGCCTGGGGCAAGCCTGCAAGTGGGTGTGAGGCCAGGGGCGTGGGCAGCCCTGGGTGGGTCTGACTCGAGGACGGGATGGTGGGAATCAAGGGGCCCTGCAGGGCTCTGCCTTGCTTTTCCCTGCCTGTTCTGTTCCGCTATAAACGTTCATAAATAAGCAACCAACTTTTCTGTGCGAAGGTGTCTTTGAGAGAGGCTTCAGAAGTTTCCAGGGGCGGGAGCACATTAGAATCGCAGGGACGGGGGCTTTTGAAAATCTGATATCCAGGCCGCCCCCTGTCCCAGTGAAATTGTGTCTGGGGTGGGAATAGCATTAGTATTTTTGTAGTTGAGAGAGAGGGGCGTGGGGCAGCCCTGCTGGGCCAGGTGCAGCCTGCCTGCAGGGTTGGTGGCTCAGTGCCCTCCAGTGTCCATTAGGTCATCCTGTGGCTTTGGGTTCATGGTGGAAATGGAGTCCCCTATTTGTCCTTGGCGGGGAAGGCCTGATGAGACCCTTTTCTCTGATGGGGCTCTGACGGAGGAGAAGAAGAGCTGGCGAGGCCTGGGCAAAGGGCAGCACTGGCCATTTTGCCATTCGGCCAGCCTGAGGAACAGTGGTGTGAGGCTGTGTGTGTGTGTGTGTGTGTGTGTGTGTGTCTGTTGGGGGGTGGGGTGGGATTAGGGAGAACAAAGGAAACAATGGTGGAAGTGTCCCCTCAGACCACTTTTGTCCCTCCAGCCACTATCCCTGCAGAGGGTCTGTTACCTTAAAGGTGTAGGTTGGAGTTGCTTAGGGATTGGGCGGAGGGTCGAGGTATCAGGTGACATCAGGAAGAAGGGCTTGTTTGGGACAGGATTGGGTCCTGGTCCCTGGGAGAGTCTTTCATGCATTTATTCATTACAAAGACACAGTCCCAGCCTGAGCCCACCTAAGAGACAAAGCTGCAGCGAGAGATGGTCAGAAATATTGATAACCTGTTCTTCTGAGATGGGTGATGCCAGTGATGAGTCTGGGCTTTAGGTCCATGCCCAGGTGGTCAGGGTATGTTAGGAGGCAGGGGCATCCCAGATGAGAGAAACAATGACCACCTGGGGAGTAAGGGAGGACCTCACAGAGGAGGTGACATGAGCTGGGGCCTTAAAGAGGAGCAGGAGCTTGCTGCTAGAAATGGAAAAGGTGGCCCCAGGTGGGAGAAGAGCAGAGGCAGAGGCCTGGAGGAGGAGATCTGGGCTTGGGACCACCCTCGTTCATTGGATCCACATGCCTAATGCTAGGCAGTGTCAGGCACCCTAAGATAAGTCAGACCTGCCCCTGAGGGGATCCTAGTTTAAGGGGGGGAGACATACTGGGGTCCAAATGGCTATAGCCTCTAGGACAGTGACAAGGGCAGATGCTGGGTCAGGGTGGAGGGAGCATGGGAGAGACATCTGTGAGTATCAGGGGTGGTGACTTCATAGAGGACGGAGCCTGTGCTGGGTCCTGAGGGATGAGTAGAAGGTCGCCAGTGGACAGAGTGGAGAACAGCATTCCAGGCAGAGGGACCAATCCGTGACAGTCTCAGGAAACATTAGTTAAATGGCAGAGAGACAGCAGCACAGAGGCAGAAACAAGGAAGAGACAGAGCTGCAGGGAGGGACAGTCAGAAACACTGGCAACCTGTTCTTCTGAGCTGGGTGATGCCAATGGTGAGTCAGATCCAACTTTGCATCCTGGTGTGGTGGGAAAGGACCGGGACACAGAGGGCCACGGCACTATGGGGTCGTGGCTAGGACAGTGGGAGGGCACAACTGTGGGAGGCCATATTCGTCTGCTAGGGCTGCTGTAACAAATAGCACAGCTGGGTGGCTTAAACAACAGAAATTAATTTTCTCAAAATTCTGGAAGCTGTAAGTCCAAGGTCAAGGTGTCAGTAAGCCTGGTTTCTTCTGAGACTTTTCCCTGTGTCTTCACTTTGTGTGTGTCTGTGTCCCAAACTCCTCTTCTCATAAGGACACCAGTCATATTGGATCAGGACCCACCTGACCCAATGACCTTTTTTTAACTTAATTACCTCTTTAAAGACCCTATCTCCAAATACAGTTGCATTCTGTGGTACTGGGGGGATAGGGCTTCAACATATAAATATTGGGGGACACAATGCAGCCCGTAGCAGAAGCTGAGGATGAGCATGGCCTCTCTGGGGTGGAGGTGAGGTCAGAGGCTGCCCTGGTCTGCGGCAGGAGGGGCATTCCCCAGCCAGGCGGGAGTAGGGAACCTTCAAGGTCTGGGCTTCCCATGAAGCAGAAGCCCCAAGCAGAAGGAGATGCCTGGTGTGGCTGCATGATGCATGAGTGGTTAGAGATGGCAGTGGAGGGTGGCAGGGGCCACACCCCAAAGGCCGGCCAAAGAGCCTGGGCTTTTCTTCGGGAGATGGTGAGCCAGGGAAGGGTTCAGGGCCAGGGTGTAGGAAGGATCTCCCTGGGGCACTGTGGACACTGGCTGAAGGGAGGGGACAGGACTGGGCAGGGGTTTCAGGGATGCTAGGAGGGGCAGGATTTAAGGCTGTCTTAGGGTGAGATGTTGCCTAGAGCAAGGCCAAGGACTGGGTGATTTTGAGCCAGAATTAGACAGCACTCCTGCCTTTGGTGCCCCAGAGTCAGGAGCAGGGCCTCACCGCAGCTCCCTTTGCGTGAGTCTCAGGATCATCAACCACTCAATGCCCCATCCCTAGAGCCCAGAAACAGGGCCTGAGCTCCCGTACCATTCTGGGCTCCCGCTCCCCACCTCAGCCTCACCAGCCTATGCCTTAATGGAACTACATGCTGGTTTAGTCTGTTTTTGCTTTTAATTTTTCCCCTTTTTTTGTGTGAAAACTTAACTAACCTATAGCAAAGTACCCTGAATTTAAGTGTACAGCCCGATGATGAATTTTTACATGTGTATAAACTCATATTGACTACCAAGCAGATCACGATGCGAAACATTTCTAACCCCTGCAGCCTTCCTCATGCCCTTTCCCAGCTGGCACCCCCAAAAGGTACCCACCACCTGACCTTGATCATTTGATACCATCTCCCCTCTTTCTGAGCTTTGAGTAATTGGAGTCCTACTGTCTGTACACTTTTGTGCCTGATGTCCTTCCCTTGGCCTCAGGTCTGTGAGATCAGTGGTCTGTGATGCAGGACTTCGTGCTTTTTCCCACTGTGGAGTATTTCCCTGTGTGGACATACCACAATTTGTTGATCCATTTCCCCGTGAAAGGGACCCATGAGTTACTTCCAGTTCAGGGCCTTTACTAAAGGCCTGCTGGGAACACGTGTGCCTGTGGGCATTGGTGGGCAGGATGCCGGGAGTGGGTGTGCGGTGGGGAAGGAGGGGGCACCTCTTAGCTTTCCTGACTTGTGCGTGTATCAATTTACACTCCCACCAGTAGTGCGGGACCTGCCTTCTTAATCAGGAATTTTAAACCCGAGCGGCAAAATTCCTCAGCTGCAAAATTCCTGGACTTTTTTTTCAGAGAGAGTGGAAGAGAGGGGGGTGGAGAGAGAGAGAGAGAGATACATCAATGTGAGAGAGACACGTCGATTGGTTGCCTCGGGCACGCTCCCCTACAGGGGCCGGAACAAACCTGCAACCAAGGTACGTGCCCTTGACCAGGAATCGAACCCTAGACCTTTGGTGTGCGGGCTGATGCTCTGTTCTAACCGCTGAGACCAGGGCAATTCCTGGACTTTTTTCAGTTGCTGAGGACGTCCCAGCTCTCTCTTTAGCTGGCCTTCTGAAATAATGGGCTCAGAACACACTGGAGTTGGACAGCTCCTTTGACAGGGTGGGATCACCGCGTAGGTGGGGATTTGGAGTAACCCGTGGGAGAGACATTTGGGTCATGATTAAGGTCTGAGGCCAAGTTGGGAATCGAGCCCAAATGAAGATCTTGGACTATCTGGATGGGAGTTGGGATCCAGGGTGGGTAAGGGGATTGAGAACGCGTCAGGCAGAAGCCTAGATTTGGGGGGGGAAAGTCCAAGACCAGGAAGGATTGGGCTGGAGTTGGTGTCAGGGTGAGCTTGGGCTGGGGTGACTGTTGGCAGTGAGGTGGGTGGAAGTCATGACTGGGGTCCATTAGCCTATATCAGTCCTGATTAAAAGCTGCACCCTGGAGTCACAAAGACTGGGGTCCAGTCAGGGCACCTCTGCCGTCTCACAGTGCTCTTGGGGAGGTGACATCCCCTCAGAGCCTCAGTTCCCTTCTCTGTGAAAGGGAGTAATATTAGCAACAATTTCTAACATGCGTTTGGAGTCACACCCAGCCCTATGCTTGGCACTGGTACGCACTCCGCTTTCCACTGTCAGCATCAAAGCACTAAGAAGACAGGGCTGTCTCCATTGCACTGTGTCCCTGGTGCCAGCTTGCTGCCTGCCACCTCCCCTTGGTCACTGCCTTTCATTTCCAGGGTCGGTAGAACTATAGAAAGGAATTGTGTTTTAGGGGCCAGGTATCTCACTGGGATTTGGGCACGCAGTTGGAATTCAAGTCCCAGGAGAGGTCTAGGATTAGGTTTGAGGACAAGGTCAGGGCAGAGCCGGAAGGAGTTGGAGCTGGAGTTACTGAGATCAGAGCGGGGCTGCTACGCCTATGCACGGAATACACGAAGGGAGACCGGTGGGAGTGAGGTGTGGAGGGAAAGTAGTGGGCCGGGGGACCCGCTGGCGGTGGCTGAATCACACCCGGAGATCTTAAGACTCGTTCCTTTGGGGATGCTGCAGTCCTGTCACATCCCCCAGGCCCCGCTCAGAGTGGAAAACATGCCTCAGCTGAAACCTGGTGAGGCAGGACGGGCGCCTGGGCGGCACGCCTGAGCAGAGGCCCCGGGCTGAGTCTCTCCTTTGGAACATCACCCACCTCCTCCCAGGAAGCCGGGCAGTGAGGTCTTCTCACGACCACCTGCCACTGTCTACCTCCTGCCCTGCCCCATCGCCTCCCAGGGCCAACCCTCCCTGTGCACCTTCTGGAGGGTAGAAAGGATCAGTCAGGAGCCTCAAGGCCTGAAGGCCCTTCTCTTGTCCTCCCAGAGAAGGGCAGAGGCCCAGAACCAAGGGTGTGTCTCCGGAAAGAGACACTTGCAAGGTGGCAGAGGGTGGGGGGGGAGGGGATTTGGGGAGAGGCTGGGGTGGTGCTGGAGGAAGGACTGAGAGCCTTCCTGGCTTCCCCTTCCTCACCCCACTTCCATCCCTCCTCTGTCCCCAGAAATAAGAATGTCTAAGCCCCTGGAGGCCGAGAAGCAAGGTCTGGACTCCCCGTCAGAGCACACAGGTGTGTGGGGAGGCAGAGGGTGGGCAGGGGGCAGGTGTGGTGGGGAGCTGCAGGGACAACTGGTGACAACTCACCTTTTCCCTCTCATTTCAGACACTGAAAGAAATGGACCAGACACTAACCACCAGGTTAGCAGGGAGTGGATGAGCGGAGGGGCGGGGAGGGGGAGAAGGGAGCAGCAGGGGGCTCTGTGGGGAAGGGACATGGTGTCAGAAGCTGCTTCATCTCACAGGTCCCATCCCCCCCCAACTTTCTCTTCACAGAACCCCCAGAATAAGAGCTCCCCATTCTCCGTGTCCCCAACTGGCCCCAGCACCAAGGTAAGCACCTGTCAGAACAGCCAGGGCAGGAGGAAGGAAGGGGATGTCCTGTGAATGGTGGCAGTTGCTTTTGGGAGAGTGTCCCACAGGCCTGTCATGGGCCCAGGGCCTAAGGGGGCACCTAGCCCCGTACCTTGGTGACAAAGCTCCTCCCACCCCTTCTCACCCTTGGGCTCCCGCCCCAGGCCTGTGACTCACCCGGGCTCCTTCCCCTTCCCTGGGGGGTGGGGGTGGCCAGGGAAATCCCCCCCAGAGCCCCAGGGCGATGAACAACAGGAAGCCAAGGGCCCGCCCCCATCCCAACTTCCCTGACCGAACTGGGGCCTGCCCCACCCCATTTTCTGCCCCCCAACACACACTCAGGGGGTAGGGGACCAGGGGACATCAGACCCAGTGAAGATGGCTGGGGAATGAAGGGATGCTGGAGGAGAGGACGATGGGGAGGCCGAAAGTGGCCACCAGAGCAAATCCCAAATCCAGATGGGGCCCTGCTGCTGAGCACTGATGGGCTTCCTGGGGTGTCTGGGGCCCAGGTCTCCATCCTCCAGCCTGGTGGGGGCAGCCGGCAGGTCCAGAGTCCTAAAGGCAGCACGGGGGGTGGGGGTAGGCAGGGCATGGGCAGGAATCTTGATCCTTACCAAAGGTGGCAGAGGGACTGGGTGAAAGGGCTGGGGACTGCTCTGTGACCATGGGAAAATCACTTCCCCCCTCTGGGCTTCTCAGTTTCCTCTTCTCTACCATGGGGGGAGGGGGACAGTCAGATCTGATGGCCTCGGAGGTCCCTTCCACAGCTAGCATGCCCTGATGCCACTTGGTGGGCAGGTGTGTGGTCCTGAGTGAGTTGGACAGGGCCCAGGGGACAAGGGCTCCCGCTTGGAGCTCCCTCTCTCTGATCTTGGTTTTGGCTTTGACCTGAGCCCTCAGAGCGTCCACCTCCTCCACACCCTCCTTCCTCAGCTGAATCTTTGCAGCCTCTCCTGGCCCCATGGCAGCCCTGTTTCTTCCTGGGGAAACCAGTGGGGCCCAGGGAAGGAAGGGTTCTCACTCCCTTTCCCAGGGAAAGCTCAAGGCCACCCCCGGCCTTGGCCTGTCCGCCCCTCCATCTCTCCTGTGCCAGGCTTTCTGCTACTGCATGCTCTCCTCACAATTTCAGACAAATCCACACACCACCGTGTACGATCATTTCCATCATACCTTTGTCAATTGGCTCAATTAAAAAAACAACACCAAAACATTTTATCTGGGGGAATGAGCAGATAAAAAAGTAGAGCATGACAAAAAGAACCCGAGCACCCGCCAGTCAGCCTCGACTCAGGAACCCGCTTGCTCTTTCAACAGCTGAAATAAATGTTTTTTAAAATGGAAATTTCACAAACGGAAAACCAAAATCACTTGCCATGGAAATAAATGCAATGATTATTAAAATGTACCCAGAGACTCTTGCCTGCCTAAGGGTCTGAGCCCCAGGCCTGCTCTCAGTTAGCAGGGGAGTGGCCAGCGCTGGGAGGTGTCCCACATCCTAGCACCTGACAGAGCCTCTCTTAGAGAACCAGAAGGAACGAAAGAGCTCTGCAGGAGGAGTGTTCTCGCCCTGTGCCAGGAGTGTCGATGTTGTTTTTTAAAACTTTTGATTGAAACATGACACACATACAGATCCTCAGTGTGCAACTCTGGGTTTTCACAAACTGAGCAGCCGTGTCTCCAGCACCAAAGCCAGACGCAGAGCAGGACCCGACTCCCAGCAGCTTCTGGTTCCCCGCCGGGAATCCAGCCGCTGCCCTGACTTCTAATGCTCACTGTTGTTTCATGCTGCACCCTGTGCCCCTCAAACTTTCTCACATTTGCATCCCATACTTTGGGGCACGCCACTCACCTCTATTGTTTGCCCTTTTCCGGGCGTCTGTCTTTGCCACGGTCTGCATTCCAGATGCTACACCCGTGCCAAGCTGCAGTATCACCTTGCACAGTTTGCTTTTCCTACGCACCTTTTTTTTTTTTTTTTTTTTAGCAAAACGATGCTGGGACACTGGGCTGCAGGATGATCCCGAACGTCCCCTCTGGCCCCAAGAGAGTGATTCATCAAGCCATGCCTCCTCCCACCCCCACGTGTTCTTTACCAACAGACCCCCCAGGCGAGCCCACCAGTGTCTGGCTTTTTGTGTAGGAGAGGAAGGAGGCCAGGGCTACTTTATGCTGGTCTGCCCTACGTTTTTTGTTGTTGTTTTTGTTTTTTAAAAAAATATATCTTTATTGATTTCAGAGAGAGGAAGGGAGAGGGAGAGAGAGTGTTGAAACATCAATGATGAGAGAGTCGTCATTGATCGGCTGCCTCCTGCATGCCCCCATGCCCCCAACTGGGGATCGAGCCCGCATCCCTGGCATGTGCCCTGATGGGGAATGGAACAGCGATCTCCTGGATCTTAGGTCGATGCTCACATGCCTGGCTGTGTGGTGTTGTTTTTAATATGTTTTTATTGATTTCAGAGAGAGGAAGGGAGAGGGAGAGGGAGATAGAAACATCAATGATGAGAGAGAATCATTGATTGCCTGCCTCCTGCACACCCCCTACTGGGGATTGAGCCTGCATCCCCGACATGTGCCCCAGACCAGGAACCAAACCCTGACCTCCTGGTTCGTAGGTCGATGCTCAACCACTGAGCCACACTGTCCGGGTTGCCCTACGTTTTTGATGCAAGATGCCTCCGCATCCTACAGAAAGATAAGGAGGAGCTGGGGGACTTGGGGGTGCAGGCTGACAGCTGGCAGCATCTGGGCCCACAAGCCTGCAGATGTGCTTTCCTTGTTCTGTAGCACTCTTGCTTTATATTTTAAAATCTGTGGCTGGCAGGAGCAGAGTAGGAGCCGGGTAGATCTCCCCTTTGGGCAGGCTGGTGGGCACAGTCTCTTCAGCCCACCTGACATTCTCTGCCCACTGCACCCATTTGTGCTGTCTGCCTGTTTCTGTTTGCATTTGAATTTGTGACCTATGTTCTAAAACAGTGAGGTTTTGTTTGTTTGTTTTTTACTATCCTAAGACCCTATCTTCCGATAAAATCTTACTCCATTGGACAAATAAGAGAGAGATGCAGCTTTGGTTGAAGGAGATCAGGACTGTGAGACCCAGACCCCCTTATTTGAGGTTCCAGGGCCCCATAGCATCATCTCCCATTTTACAAATGGGGAAACTGACTCCCCAGAGGGAAAAGTGCTCCCCAAAGGTGGCCCTCTCCCGTAGGGAGTTTGGGTGCAGGGGTGTGGTAGCCCATCTGACTGATGAGGAAATGGGCCTGAGGGGTGGCCTGAGGCCTCGGTGAGTCAGTGCAGGTCTGGCCTCCATACCCTGTCCTGTCCTCCTGTGCCCTCCGGAGGCTGCTGTTGCCACACTCGTGCCCTCTCTTTGGTTCACAGGTGGGCATTCTCTCTGGCCTCCACTTAACATTCTGGGGTCCCGGACCCTGCCTCTCTCCCCCCCAGATCAAGGCTGAAGACCCCAGTGGTGACTCAGCCCCAGCAGCACCCCCGCCCCCCCAGCCGGCTCAGCCACATCTGCCCCAGGCCCAGCTCATGCTGACGGGCAGCCAGCTTGCTGGGGTAAGTACTTGGGAAGGACAGGGACAGGGTCACAGGCCGGTCACCTCCATCTGTTATAGGACCAGTGGCCCGGGTGTCCCTCCAGGGCCACGCCACTCTCTGTCATCTGCCTCTTGCCCTCCTCTGCCTCCTGGAAGACTGGTCCCCTAACCTGTTTGGCTCAGGCACTAACCCCTCTCTGCCTTCTCTGCTCCTCCCCGTGCCCCCTGCGTCCCGCTGTCCCGCCTGCCCCACAGCTCACGGCACTGATGCCAGCTCAGCAGCAGCTCCTCCTGCAGCAAGCGCAGGCCCAGCTCCTGGCCGCCGCCGTGCAGCAGTCCAATGCCGCCGCCGCCGCTGCTGCCGCCTCCTCCACCTCCTCCTCCTCTTCCTCCTCTTCCTCCTCTGCCTCCTCCGCGACCTCGCAGCCCCCAGCCTCCTCTGGGGGGGGCGACCTGCCACCGCCACAGCCTGCCAGCCAGCCCCCGGGGACCCCACAGCTCACCCTGTCCCAGCCCATCCAGCTCACAGCACAGGTAAGGGCAGCCAGGGAGCAAGGCCCCAGTGGACGCCCCTCAGGGGCTGACTGACCCTCGCGGACCATTCCCACCGCCAGCTACGTGCCAGGCAGTTCCCAGCAACCCTAGGAAGCTTTGGGGGATGCTGCCCCCATCTCTCAGAGGGGCAAAGAGAGGCCCAGAGAAGGGGCATCCTCCACAGGACAAGTGCCTGGCCAAGCTGGCTCGCTCTTTCTTTCTTTCTTTCTTTCTTTCTTTCTTTCTTTCTTTCTTTCTTTCTTTCTTTCTTTCTTTCTTTCTTTCTTTCTTTCTTCTCTCTCTCTCTCTCTCCTTTCAATATGTCTTTATTGATTTCAGAGAGAGGAAAGGAGAGGGAGAGAGAGAGGAACATCAATGATGAGAGAAAATCATTGATCGGCTGCTTCCTGCACGCCCCCCACTGCGGATCGAGCCCACAACCCAGGNAAATCATTGATCAGTTGCTTCCTGCACGCCCCCCACTGCGGATCGAGCCCACAACCCAGGCATGTGCCCTGACTGGGAATCAAACTGTGATCTCCTGGATCCTAGGCCGATGCTCAACCTCTGAGCCATGCTCAGCTGGGCCCGTCCAAGCATTTTCTATGCATCTGGCTGAGGGGTCACAGCCACTTGGGAGGTTGGCATGTTATCCTCAATTTACAGCTGAGGAGACCAGGAGTCACCCCATGAATGGTACCTGTGTGGATGCAAAACGAAAGGCTGAGATCAGAATTAGGGCCTCATATGGTGTCCCTGGCTCAGCCAGTGAATCGCTCTTTCAGAAAAGGGGACTCTGATCCTGAGGTAGGAAGTCCTGCATCCTTCCTCCCCATCCTGGAGACTTCTGGACAAATCCTGATTAGGGGCTGTGTCAGTTTCCTAGGGCTGCTGTAACAAAGTTCCACAAACTGGGTGGCTTAAAACAAGAGATTATTGTCTTAGATCAGAAGTCCAAAAGCAAAGTGTCGGCAGGGCTGCGCTCTCTCTAGTGGCTCCAGGGGAGACTCCCTCTTTGCTTCTTCTAGCTTCGGGGAGTGCAGAAATCCTTGTCTTGTAGATAGACTGCTCCAATCTCTCCCTCCGCCATTGTCTTTCTGTGGTGTCTCCCTCTGTATCCAAATTTCTCCATCTTATGAGGACACCAATCATCAGATGAGGGACCACCCCAATGACCTCACTTTAACTTGACTACATCTGCAAGGACTCTATTTTCAATAAGGTCAAATTTATAGACACCAGGGATTAGGACTTCCAACATATCTCTGGGGGACACAATTCAACCCATGACCGTCGCCAACAGATTTCCCATGAGGATAACCAGTGAGAATAGAGTAGCTGGGCAGACTTGCCTTCTGCGAGGCCTACTCGCTCTGGCCCACCCACCCACATCTGCCCGCGCCACCCATCTATGCTATCTGCATGGTTTCCGTAAGCGTTTGAGCCTTCAGCCCGTGCTCCAAGGCGGTGAAGGTCCTGAGAAGTCCTACAGCAAGGAATCCTGTTTAACTTCCCTTAGCCCGGGGTTTTGCACAATGACTGCTCTGCAGGTGGCTTCCTCTCCCCAACCCCTTCACAGAACCCCTGGGCAGGTGCTGCTATGCCAGGGCGCTGTCCAGCCCACGAGGCTGTTCCCTTGACAGGGTTCTGCCTGTGCAAAGGGTTCTAGCACTAGTGACCAGCGCTCCCATTTGGGACTGTCCTTCACACCAAGCTGGTATCTGCCTCCTTAGAGCTTCCTGCCTCTGGGCCTGGTTCCCAGAGCCATCAGTGTCTACGGCTCCATAACGGTTTTTCAGACGTAGCCTCCCAATGCTGGACTTGCCGGCAACCGTAACCAGAGCCTGTTTGGCACTGCCTTGGTTCCAGGCACTGTGCTAATGTGACCACCTTGAATCCACAAAGGCTCTGAGGGGCAAGTTGACGTGCCTGCCCCAGGTCGCACTGTGAGCATGAGTGGCAGAGTGGCCTAGGAATCCAGGGTTTTAACCACACAATCTGGGTCTGCCTTCAGCTGACCACGGGACATGTGTCCTGCCCCTCACCCCGGCCACCAGAGACCCCAGCAGCAGATGTTCCATTTCCTCGAAGCACAAATGGCCCTTCACAGAGCAACACCGAGGCTCAGGGCTCCGCACTAGGTCTTGAATCTTGGTGTCCCTGCTCTCGCTCTTCTTCCTACCTGGGAGTCAGCTTCCTCCCTTTCCCTGGACAGCTCCTCAGCATCCTCCAAGCCCCAGCTCCAGAGTCCACAGCTCCAGGAAGTCTCCCATGCTGTCCCTCCCTCCGGCTGGTCTGCTTTCCTGCCTCCTCAGGGGACCCGCAGTCCAGACCCCTCTTTCTGCTCTCCAAGGCTGTGTCTCAGCATATGAGGAAGTATCTGTTGAAGGAACAAAGATGACAGGGAGGAGGAAGGACAGGGCAGCCTAGTGCAGACCCAGCCAGGCCATTATCCCCTGTGAGCAGCAGACACCCCTGTGTCCATACACCCCTAGAACCACGTCCCCCAGTCTCCCCGCGGACACCAGCAGCAGGCTGACCCCTGCCACCTGCCATCCCACCAGCCTGATTCTCAGGGTCTCCTGAAGCCCTTTCCTCTCCCTCCTCCCACCCCAGCTTCCCTCAGCTCTCATCTTCCCCTGTCTGTCTTCTGTGAGTGCAAAGCTAGGCCAGGTTTGTTTTCTGGGAGCTCTGTCGCCCATGATCTCTTCCTACAACAGACAAATGTGTATTCTGTTCTGCCAGTGTGTGGGCCTGGGCTGTGGCAGGGACCATGTTCCTCCTGCCCTGGCTGTCCACCAAGGTACGGCTGACCTGGCCCCTGGGTTTCACCTGTCTCCCATGTCCTGTGCCCTCCGATTCCACTCTCCATGCCTGCTCAGCTCTGTCCCGGGGTCATGTCACAGGCATATCCCACCTCCTGTGTCAGGCCCTGAGTGACTCAGACCCATCCTTGCCCTCGAGGTCTCCCAGTCTTATAGAGAAACAAACACACCGATGAACTATTAGGAAATGTTTTAGTTGAAAAATACTAGGAAAGTCAAAAGCACTCATAACCCTATCATTTAAAAGTTATAAAAAGTACGAAGGAAAGTCTCCGGTTTGTCCCTCTAATGCCAGCTTCCAAAGTAATGTTTTTTAAACCACTTGGCAGGAACCCTCCCTGCGTTTTCTTAGTTTATACAGATAAAGGGACGATTATCACACCATTTTCTAACTTGTGTGTCCAGTGCTCGGCACAATGCTTGCCACCAAGAGGGCCACACATGTGTTTACTGAATCAATGAGGGATGTTTTGCTGCAGCTTTTCAATCAAGAGAGGGAAGACATCTCTCCAGGGGAGTCATTCAGAATGTCTGGGGTAGGAATAGGCATTGACTGAAAATTTACATTAACTGTTAAAACATCATTTTGTATTTGGAGAGTGAAAAAAAATCCCAATTTTTTAAATATGACCATGGCAAATAGAGCTTGACAAAACCTTTTAGGCTGGCAGGACTTAGTGAATAAAGGTTTCCCAGGGAAACCTACTGGGTGTGGTGGGAAAATAAAGGTGACCTATGTCTGAGAGAGTCAGGGAAGGCTTCCGGGAGGAGGTGATATCTGAACCAAGGTGGGACAAATAAGAGTTTACCAGGTGGATGAGCTAGAGAAAGGGGTTCCAGGCAGTGGGAACAGGGAATTCTAAGTGAGAGAGCAAGGTGGGCTCACAGACTTGGGAGGTGGGAACTAGTGTTGGAAGACAGTGAAAGATGAGCTGGGAGAGGGTGTCAGCCTGACCACCCCAGGCGACTGAGAAGAAAAGGGAATATTTGACTCGTATCACTGAAAAGGTCCAGCCTGTCCTCAGAGATAGGTTTCCCTTTTTGCTTTGGGGAGATCAAAATGGGTACCAGAACTTGTAGACTTGTAGCCACCCTGCCCAGGGAGGTAACACACCCAGTGGCCAGCTTTGAGTCTGTGCCCCTGACCCCTGAGAAGGTGGGGTTAGCCACACCTGGTCCAGGTGACCTAAGAGTGGGAGTGGGCAAGTACACATAAGGAAAAGATGGGTCCTATTGCTTGAAGAATGGGTAGTGGGTGCCAAGCCAGCCAAACCACCCACCTGGAGGGTGTTGTCAGTGCACCCACAGGCCCAGGAGCCAGGCCCACAGTTCTTGAGTTGGGATCTGCTAGGGCTTATCTGTCCTGGAATTTTAGCATGAGGCAGCATGGATGTGACACACAATGCACGTGCAGGTGGTTTTCCTCCCTGTGGAGTGGTTCTCTGTTCTGTCTCAATTGCTGCGACTGCCTGGGCTCCATGTGGCAGGGCCAACCTCTGGGGGACATTGGTGCATAGAAGAGTCCATGCTAGAGACAGGCCACCTCTGTTCACGCCACCACCCCTTTTAGAGCTTCTCCTAGTGACTGGAAAAATCGTAGTCATTTGTTCATTCAACTAACATTTATTGAGCACCATGTGTATGCCAGGTGCCCACTCAT